ATTCTGTGGCTAAGCACAGAAGTTACACATAAACTGGTTTAAGTGATCAGAAACTGGTTTAAACCTGTAACAGAACAGAAGCTCAGTGCACATAAACCAGTTTCAAAATGGCTGAAACTGGTTTAAGATAAACCTGGTTGAATGTAGTACCAGACTTAACTGGTTTAGGTCAAACTGGTTTATGAAACTTCTGTCCAAGACCCCTTCCTGGTTCAAATTAAATCAGAGTCCTCCAGCATGCTGGCTGTCTGCTTCAGAGAGCAGGGCTGGTCCCACCGCTCTGTTACCTAGCTATGACAGTGAGGGCACTGGCCTCACTGGCCCCCTCCAGGCAAACCTCAGCTGGGATCTGGGGCCAGGGAGGGGGGTTAAACTTACAGTACAGAGCTGCCCTGCTCTGATGGCTTACTTAGTGCTGGCTGTGACTGTGGACTACAAATCCCAAAGGCACCTGGAAGCAGGAAGAGAAAGTGATGACCAACCCTGCAGAGTCCTGCTGCTGTGAGTGTGGACAGCAGAAATAGGAAGCAAACACAGTCCATGCTGGCTACATGCCAGAGAGCTGTGCTCTAGTGCCCCCTGACTTCTGACTTGAGCCACTGCAGGCATGTGGTTGCATTTCCTGAATCACAAGTGAATATCTGTTCATTTGCTTATTGGTTCAATCTTTGCAGCTTAGAGTAACCTGCAAAGACTGAATCAATTCAGCCTCAGACTTTTTTGACTGTGTACTTATCCTATGCGTAAGGGATTACTGTGGAACACTATGAGACCTGTATATTTTCAAGTAAGGTGTTGCACAGCATCTGTTGCAACAAAACAAACAGAAATGTATTTGCTTATAACTGAAACCTGAATTCAAACGGTCCAAACTTCACTTAAATACCAGCACCCAGTCACATACTTCTAACTAAATAAAATACTATACAACAAACTCTCTGCCCTTGTCTTGAACGATATCTTGATGGGGAAAAGGAAGTATCCATAGGGAACAGGATATTCCAAATAGGGCCTTCTGCTTTAGTCTGTGTATTAATTTCTTGGATTCTCTGAACTAGAAATAAAACAAAAAAACTGAAGTGCTCTATGTTGCTGGCTTTTATGACGATCACTGAAAAACCTAAACCACCTAAAGACGTTATTCCTTAGCTATCTGACAACTGAACATGGCATCCAATTCTATTTCTGGAATTTTCAGCTCACCCAATCAGACAAAAGGCTGGAAAGAGTGGAGGCATTCATCAAATTACACAGAGGGTTCCATCTGTTACCTTAAACCTTTGTTATCAAGTGACACAGAGGATATGCTGAAAAACTCATGCAAACAGTATTAATTTACATTTTATTTTAAAGCATTGTATGTACACTAAGATTATTAAGGAAGAAAAAGGAGAAAGAAAAGAAATTTAACAGCTTATTTTGGAATAGATATACCTAGTTCTGGCATGCTGCTAAAAGTCTCTAAGGAGAGGGCTATAACTGAGGAGAAAGTACAGTGCTCTGTGTGGACCGCATGACTAGCTTGCTGATGTGATGAAGCTCATTTTGTTCGCTTGTTGAAAGTTTTGTTCCTTACCTAAAAGACTTTCCATACAGCCATGCCAGCCCAGCAGAAGAAAGTCATTTTTTGTGTAGCTGGGTTATTGAGCTTTGCTTGTGCTCTATGCATTGCAGCAGCTATCGGGACTCAATTGTGGATAAAAGGAACAATACTCTGCAAAACTGGAGCCTTGCTCGTCAATGCTACAGGACAAGAACTGGAGAAGTTTATTGGTGAAATTCAGTATGGGCTTTTCTATGGGGAGCGTGTTAGACAATGCGGGCTCGGAGGGAGACCTTTTCAGTTTTCATGTAAGTAACATGAATTATTAATTTGGAATTATTAAATACCTTAATGCACTCTATCATGAGAACTAACAGATATGTATTTGAGTGCATTCCTATTTATTTAAAGGATTTAACAAGTGTAAAACATTCAAAGATTAAATGGGATCATTTCTGAGGTGTTTGTATCCTAATATTTAAACTATTTTACTACCTGTATATCATCATTGACAATTTCAGTATAACTGTATTATGTTTTATTATAGCAAATGTCTCTGTCTCCTCACTCTTGTGACAATGTTTTTGGACTCTAATTCATCTGTTTTGTATTGTTATGCATCTGTCTATGTCAGCTGTATTATGTTCTGACATGAAACAAATACTATTAAGATAACAGAAATCTTATTAGAAAGCCAGAACATGTCCTCATTTGCTTCTTTTGAGGAACAGCAAAGCAAAGAATTAACAATCCACTGCATAACTGAAAAATTATAGTGGGTTTATGCCAATACATATTTAATTAATTGCCCTGCAACCTGAACTAGGTATCTTGACAGAGAATTTTATGGGGGAGAATTGTTAGATATGCTTTTGCTTTACATGCAATATTCATAACCTGTTTATCTTGGAGGAGAAGATCAATAAAAAGATCAAGTGAACACAGTTTATATATAGCAACATATTAAATAGATCATAACAAATAGTTATTTGTTATATGTACAGTATCTCACAATATGCCACCTGAAGTTATTATTACAAAATACAATTTGGAAGCAGCCTGCTAAAATAGTACTGGTAAATTACTTGTATGAGTCATTTGTGGTAAAGTGAGGTTACCAGATTAGGTTTCACCAATGATTTACTATATACTATTTTTGTGAAGTAGTAGACCAAATACATTTAGTGTGTTATTAAGCTTTGCCATGTCTAATTAAATTCCATAGCCAGTCTATTTATATATCTGAAAGTTCTCCTCTTTATTACTTTCCCTGCTGTCACAATAGGCTGATGTTCTACCCTGCAGGTTACAGTCTGGGATGAATTTTCAGAGTTGTCTACTAAATCCCAAGGAATTAGTTTTCAACTATAGAGGAGATTATTATGAGCTGCAAATGATAAAGCAGATAGCAAGCTAGAGCAATGTGACCAAAACTAGTTCATGTTCATTAAGGTAATGGAGCTGCTAAGCATGACTAAGCTTTCCCTGCAAAAAAAGGAGAACAAAGCATAGGATCACATGATCAATTGGTGGGAGGGGAAAGTTTGTCTCCCTAGCAGGTTGGGAATGCAGTGAATTTCTCACTAATAAATTTTGGCATAAGCTGTAGTTTGTGCAACCCTTACATTGAGTAGAAGTTACTCAAGCAGGTAGCCCCACAGACTTTTAGTGGGATCACTCACATACAGGTTTCTTAACACGAGGCAGACTGCAAACTGGGCAGTGAGTTTTTAGGCCATGCATCTTGGCTTCATATTGTAAAACAAATTTTCCTTGTCTGGCATGGCGGGCCTAATGGAAAAAAAAGAGTTGATACCAAAATTATGCATCTAACCTATCCTAAATTGCTCACATCTCATCTCTTTGAAATTTCATTCTTTTTACATGTCTTTCTCTGTGGGTGTAAAAATACATTCATATTTTAATTGTATATAGGTAGAGTCTGATAATCTACTCAGGCCAAACAGTATGAATCTCAACAAGTGCTCTCGATTATGCCAATAGGCTAATCAGTGTGACTAAAAGGTATCAGAATAAAGCATGTAATGACTTTCACGTACAGCAAAAATGTCAGCAACCCTATAAATGGTACTATTCTGCATATCAAATGACCCTATTTTTAGATTCAATTTTAGGAAAAACAGCTTCTTCCCTGAATAAGCTGATTCTACAGATAAAGAAAAGCTATTGTCCCACAAGAGATTCTGTGGTTATTACTAAGGTGCATTAACCCAAAATTTTTAATTCCCTAGAAATATTCAAATGAAAAATGCACCAAAAGGTTTTTATGCACCAAAAATGCAACCTGGTTTTTATTGCATGCACAAAAGTATTTCAAGTGCACAAGTCAAAATCAGAGGCATACAATTATAGATCAACCTGTATATAAGTTGAGTGTGCCTTCTATAATTCTTTTGAAGAGAAAAAAGTGGAAGTATAATCAGAACAATTCAGTAATTATTTATTATGCTTATTATGCTAGCTACAGAGCAGCCAAAATTTGGACTGTATCACACTAGGCACTATACAGAGTAGCTGACAGTTTCTTTCTTTGACTTTTGTTTCTAATTTCCTGTTTACCTTGTTATATGACTTCTTTCACATGTTTAAATAGCCTTAATTTTTTTCACTGATGTTGCTTGGCATCAGTCTTTTGTCTACATAATTTTATATTCACAAAGCACATAATTCATTTCTTCATGGCTATTGAAAATAATTTATTGGTAGAGTATTGCTAATATTACCCCAGTTAGTTTTATAAGACCAGAAAGGTTTAGAAAGGGATGGGAGGGTAACAAAAAGATAATAAATGTACAGTTAGTAGGGTTGTGATGATAAAGAATAATAATATATTAAAAGATCCCGAAGTGCTTCATAAAGGCATATTATAGAATTGGGCAAATACTGCACCAAACCTTCCAAAGGTATCTTCTGCGCTGCTTATTTTTTCTTGCAAACACTAGGCTCTTTTTTTTGAGCTTTCTGAGAACATTCCTTTGTGGCAGAAAAAAATTGATTGGCTGTTCACCACACATGAATTTCGAAGTTGCATTCATGGTAGTTTTACTTCATAACTGCAAATAATTTTCACAGAAGAATATGCATGCTCATCTAATCAACGAACAGAAACAATGCCCCATGTAGACTGTCTAATTAATCACAGCTAAGTAACACCGCTTGGAATAATTAAAACAGAATTCTGAATGCCCACAATGAACTGGGTGCTAATTTCATCCAAGATTATATTTATACATAATATATGTATTATATATATGTGTATGTGTATTATATGTGTTATGTATTTATATATAACATATTCCTGGATGAAATTATCACCCAGTTCACTGTAGGCATTCAGAACTCCATTTTAATCATCCCAATATTACATTATATATCTCATATATAGCATAATGACTAAATCTGAGAAAACTGCAATGTTGCATACATTCAATAAATGAAAAAAAGAGACTTAAATGAGAATAATTTACTCAAAGCTAATATGTTTTGTCATCCTCATTTTTCAGAGGGAGATAATGTGGTTTTAAGAGAGAGAATTTAAGTACATGTTCAAATTTAAGCACATGATTAACTGACTTCCCTCAGAATTTGAGCACTTTTCACAGATCTGTGCTGGATTTAACTGTTTTCCTGACTTGTTCAAGATCATACAAGAAACAGAGTCAGGAATAGAACCTATGCCCCTGTCTCACTGTTTTCTAATTACATCATTAGTATACAATGCCTTCCATTTACTCTGCAATGTTATTTGAAATGATAAATCCTATTTAAATGCACAAGAATATTTTGTTGATGCATCCTGACAAGATAATACCAGGAAGTAATAATTGATTCCTGGAGGTTTAAGATCCTGTTGCAATGTCCTCCTGCAACCAAGTAATATCATAAATCATTTTATAAAAACACATCTTAGAAAAACCACAGTCACTAAAGCAAGAACTTTCACTGACAGAGGACAATGAAAGAGTTAATGTTCCCTTTACAAATTACTCTCAGGCCATTTTTCATTTAGTTGGGAGAGCAAATGCAACTTACTTACTATAATGCAATTTTTATGTTTAATTAGACTGGATACCTTAACGATATCTGCACTTAACAAAGCATTTCCCATGCAAAGAAACCATGTACTAAGAGACGTCAGTTGATAGTCTCCATCTCTCTGAGCATACACATACACTAGAAGCAAATTCTCTCTAAAAGTCATTCAAAATGTCCCAGGAAGTAGAACAATTATATGCAATATATGTGTTCACCATTTAATGCACTGAAGTGCACTGTAACAGCTCCGTGAAGAAAGGGTCTGGAAAATAGGTTAAATGATTTAGTTCTATGTTTGTTCCCATTAAATGGTCCCTGCTGACCACTCTATCTTTTTTAATTGTAAAATGAATTTGCTCTGCCAGCAAACCCCGTTAAACTAGGGGAAGTCTTCTGCTTCATTTACTCTAGCTGATTCTCATCAGTTTCTGGGTCAGCAGTTCATTTTCTAAAGGTCACTGGCATTCATACCTACCACACAAATTCATTCATTATAATGGAGGCATGCTTTTCTTTCAAGACAACATCGCTGCTGGATTTAATTTTCCTGATACGTCACCTATAAAATGTTAATGATATATAAAAATGTTAAATGTAGCTGTTGAAGGATCAAGCCAATACAATTTAGTTGGTTTTTAAGATAAAGAGAATAAAAATTTGTGTTATTAAGTATACAATTTTGTTCTAAAACATTAAGTAAAGCTACTAGAATGAAGCTTGAAAAATACTTTTTGTGACAGGATGTACAATATACCTGTTTAGATGTCCACCCAGATTAAGGGATCTGTTTACCCTAACGTTGGTCTAAAATACTTGGTACATTACAAAATGTATACTACCACTGATGCAGGCATTTTTACTACTAGAAAAGGGAATAGGTATTATAAAGAATAGGAAGCAAAGTATGTACAGGGAGTATGCATGAAACTTTGGTGTTTGGCAGTACAGATAGACAACTTTCTAAGTTTACACATATACAAATATCTAATCTGTATATGCAGTTCTAATAAATTTATATTCAAATTAGACATGCAGTTCCATCCATATAAATATGTACTCACCTTTTTTAAGATTAGACCCTAGGTCATCAGGAATTGGCAGCAACTATCAGATGATGTTTTGGGTAAGAATGAGCTTGCTTCTTCCTGGTGCTGTGGTATTATCAAAAAAGGTTTTTTCATAGATGAACTGGAAGATCTTTAATTATTCTATGAATAGTTATGTGTTTGAACTGAACTGTGAATACATGGCT